TTTGTAGAGACAGGGTTTTGCTATGTTGTCCAGGTGGTCTCAAACTCCTGGCCTTAAGTGATCCTCCCCCCTCGACTGCCCAAAGTTTTGGGATTACAGGCATTAGCTACCATGCCTAGATATTTTAAAATTTTTGTCTTGCAGTTCACAATAGGATATTCTAAAACTTGCAGGTCATTTTCATGAGAAAATATCAATGGTTTAATGTCATTAAAATTTTAATCTACACTTCTTTGATATTGAACATCTCTCATGTGGTTTGTGGCTATTTATATATCTTTTCTTTTGAAGTATCTTTTGAATTCATTTGCCCATTTTTTAAAAATTGGGTTGTTTGTCATATTACTGATTTCTAAGAGTTCTTTATATATTCTAGATACAAGGCTTTTGTCAGGTATACGTTTTGCTCTTCTATACATTTTCTTAATGATATCTTTTGGGAAACAAAGTTTCCAATTTTGGTAATGTCTAATTTATCAATTTATTTTTCTTTTTTGATTTGTGCTTTTTTTGGTATTGTAAGAAATCTTTGTCTACTTCAAGATAAAGAAATTTTATCCAATTTTTAATTTAAAAATTTGTAAAAATAATTTTTGCTATTTTGATTTAGATGTATACTGTTTTGAGTTATTTTTGTGTATGTGGTGTAACTTAAGGATAAACATTTATTTTTGCCCCAATTAAAAATTCAGTTAGTACACCCTTTTCTTGAATATACAACCTTTTCCACTCTTGAAATCCATTGCAATACTTGTTCAAAAACAATTGACTATACATGTGTCTATTTTTCTCTGGCTATTTTTTCAGACTTGTAATTTCGAGATAATTGAAGCTTTATCTGCAGTTGCAAGAAATAATAAAGAGCTCCAGTATAACTTGAACTCAGCTTCCCCCATGGTAACATATTGTAAGTTATAGTACAGTGTCATAACAAGGATGCAGACATAGTCAAGATACAGAACATTTTCTTCACCACAGGGATTCCCTGTGTTGCTCTTTTATCGCAACACTCATTTTCCTCCCTCTACGGCACTCTTTAACTGCTGGAAACCACTAGTATGTTCTGCATTTTTATAATTTTGTGATTGCAAGAATATTACACAAATGGGATCCTGTAGTATGTAACCTTCTGAGATTGGTGTTTTTCACTCAGCATAATTCTTCACAGATTCATCCAGGTTATTGTGTATCAATAGTTTCTTCCTTTTTATCGCTGGCCAGTATTCCATCGTATGGACATCCCAGAGTTTGTTTAACCAGTCACCTGTTGAAAGGAATCTGGGTTTGTTCCAGTTTTGAGCTATTATGAAATGAAGGTGATGTAAACCTTCATATACAGGATTATGTGTGAACATAAATTTTCATTTTTCTGGGACAATTGCCCAGGCGTTCAGTTGCAGGGTCATAGGGTAGTTGCGTGTTTACTTTCACAAAAACTGCCAAAGTGTTTTCAGAGTCGTTTAGCAATTTTTATTCCCCCCAACAATTTAT